TGCTCCGCTGCATGTGGGATCTTCCTGGACCAGGGCCCAAACCTGTGTCCCTTGCATTGGCAAGCGGATGCTTAACCACTGCACCACCAGGAAAGTCCTACATGGTGTTTAAATTAACCTTTCTAAAACATTTGCCAGCTCAGAAGACCTGAAGAAGCTACCTACTATGTGGTAAAACAAGTTAATTTGTCCATTCTTTCATTCATTCATTCAGCTATTTACTCAATAAACATTTACTAAATGCCAGACCCTAGTCAAAGAGTTGGAGATATCCACAAGAACAAAATCCAGTCCCTTTCCTCAGGGAGCTCACAGGCTAATTGACATGATAGCCATATTAGCAAACAGGTTCATTATCATTTGATAAATGAGAGTAGGTAAGATACTACCAGCATACAGAAGACATGGTGGATAAGGAACAAGTGGGATTAGTGGGAGTCAAGGAAGGGTACCGTGTATCAGAGTTCTTCATTGCAAACAACAAAAACTGACTCTGGCTAACACAGGAAGAAAGGAGCCACTGAGGACTTTTTAAGCAGAGTTGTGGCATGGGCATCTTCAGGTTTTAAGCAGACCACGCTGGCATAATAGTTTGGATAATAGGTTAGAGGGGATAATGCTGAAGGCAGGGAGAGAGATAGTAGACTAGTAATTGTCTGAATGAGAGACATTGAGGGGCTGAACCAAGGCAGTGGCTGTGGGAACGGAAAGGGTAGTTTCAGGAGTTCAAACTCATTCTAAAATTGAGAACTGTCACTGTCCCAACCCCTCCTTTTCCAGTGCACTCAACTCACTCCCACCCTCTTCAGATAAACAGCGTAACTCACTGTGAACTAGACATGCCATTTCTGCTCCTTCTTCCTCGAATGCCTTTGCCCCTCTGCTCATTTTCTCAGAGCTCTCCCTTCCCATTTAAGATGCAGCTCATGACCACCTACTGCTCAAGCCTTCAGTAGTCTCTTAACACCCTAACTCTCTATAAGGTTGCTGTCATTGTTTTGATGGCTAACTTGTCACAATAGGTTAAAGAGCCTATTGTGTTATTATATCACTGTCATACCTCCCTGCATTCTACTGTAAGCTACTAGAGGCTAGTGATGCTGTCTCAGTCAGGTCCTAGAATGGGTCCAGCACAGAGTACCCAGTACACGTTCCTGATGATGCTGGCCCCTGGCTCTGTGCGACACATTAGGGTCCTGTTGTGGCTGATAGCTTCCATCACCAAATTCCTGCTCGGTACAGTCTGAGGAATGTTTATCTCCCATAAGCACATCTCTTGGGTCACTGTCTGCTCGTAGACTTTCACCAACTTCCCATTTCCCACTGAACTCTTCTCCTCAGCTGTTAAGGTCCATCAGTCCATTCTCCCCACATTTCCCCAGTAGATACCTCAGCAGTCATCAGACTGACCTCTTTACTGGTCCAAAAACAAGTCCCATGAAGGTCTGATTCTTAATTGTCACTTAGACTAACCCCTGTCCCAAGGATGTCCTTACTCTTCCCTTCCAGTGTTTCAGAACCAAGGATGTCCTTCAAATCCAAAAACCTGCTTAGTCCCTTATGGTTCCAGCCCTTGCAGATCTATGACCATACTGTCACGGCATTTCTGGTGTGTCTTCCAGCAAGCAGTTGTTCCCAGATTTGTTGTGTTTGCTGTCCTGAGCATCTTCCTCTCCACAGCTAGATTGCAAGCTGCTTGATTGCTCAGTATCCCAAGGGTGCCAGATACGTTTCTGGACACCTAGGGCTCCTGAATGCATATTAGAAGATTGGCATAAGGCAGAACTATTTCTCGGACTCCCATCTTATCAGTCAACTGCATTCTCCACCCGCCACCCCCACCCCTGCCCCATTTTAGCGTGTAAGGGAAGCCGAGGAAGAAGCTTCTCTCTGGAATGGCAGCCCAGAGACTTTAGTGAGATTTTTAGTGTCTCTTGGTCAGCACTGCTACTGATAGTGAGTCACTGCTCGCTTGTGGTGATTCTAAGCCTCACTTTATGATTCATGTTCTAAAAACGGGGTGAGGTTTTTACAGAGAAACCAATTCCGTTGTGAACGTAGCCTCACAATGATCAGGTTCCTCTGAGGGCTTCCAGCTGCTCGCCCAGCACTCCTCAGGGTCAGGCATCTCAGGGTTCACCGGATATAGCTGTTTCACGGCAAACACCTAGAATCCATTTCACAGGGTTTTGATAGGCGGTTCCCAGTGATAAATTTGTTCCCCCAGCCTTTCTTGAGACTTTTCATGGTCTGTAACCAGCCATGTCTGGATCTGGGATGGGCAAGTTGAGGAAGGGTAGATAAATCTTGGGGGCTCTTCTTTTGTTCATACTTCTGAGTAGTAGTCTTGGTTCCTCAGCCAGAAAGCGCTTGCATCTATAAAGAGGAAGTTGAGTGTGTGACTCCGTTGAGCATCTGGGAGAACTGCTCTAAAAAGCACTGAAAAGGGAAATCACTAAAATCAGAATGTGTAAGTGACAGAAACGGGGTGGTTTTGTGAAATTTGTGTTCTGGTCCCAAGACTTCGACTGGCAAACAGTGTACCTTTTGTGAGTCATTTACCTACGGTAGTGATGACCACAGTTGACATTTATAAAGAGCTTGGATTGGGGCCTGGCATACAGTAAGCCCTCTGTAAGCTCACCTGCTATGATCGTCATCATTGTTACATAGGGTTTTTCAGTCCCAGTACTAAGCACTTGGTGTATGTTATCTTATTTAATCCTTAAAATTATGACATGAGTTTTGCTGCAGAGGGGTGAGCTGAGGCTTAAAGACCGTACAGTACTCAAATCCAGACAGTGGAACTCCCGAGCCCATTTCAATCTCTGTTGTTACTATGCCTGATTTCCTTAGGCCTCAGTTATTTTGTTTTTTTTTTTCCATCTGTAAAACTTGAGAGCTGGACTACTGGCCTTTAAAATCTTGGAGCTCTAAAATTTCTAGATATTTTCTCCATTATTTTCACCCTTTTACTTCTCTCCTTCCCCTTCCCCTCATCCACCCACACTCATCCGTGAATTTCGCTGGATTCATCATCATGGGATGGGCAGGATGTTTTCCCCATTGAGCTATGATGCTGCAAATGTCAGCACATGGACTTGTAGTATTGTGGCTTTGTGGTGGTTGTTGGAACTGGTTTGCATGCTGCTGTTGTTGGGAGAGGGGGAATCTGACTCTTCAATTTTACTGTCTTTTCTTGGCCTGCAGCCATTGCCACCTTGAGTGATGCTAACATTTGACGGGCTTGAGAAAGGCTTAATGGGAGAAGCCCACTGGAATCAGCTCTTTGGGTCCGTGGACCCTGCCTGGTTCTCTGGTGAGATCTGGTTTGGAGCACTCACTCTCCAGGCTTTTAGCACATGTCTGGTCCTGTGATTGGTAAGGATCTTAGGAGAGGAACTTGGAAGAGAGGTTTCTGGACTTTCCATTCTGCGCACAGCTTGGATTCCCTGGCAGATTTCCAGTGAGGAGTTTCACTGATCATTTCATTATGGTTCCATTGTCATTAATGTCTGTAAAGTACTTTAGTTGGTGGTAGTCTATATATATTCTCTAGTATTTTTCTTTGTGGCTATGACCCAAAGATTAGAGTGTTTCGGCATCAGAAGACCTGGGCTCAAGTGTTGCATCTATTACTTCCTAGCTTGGTGCAGGTGTGTACCTGCTTGTTATGACCTCTACTTGATCATTTTTTTGGTGGTCTCTTACTATGGAATAAAAAGAGTCCATTTGTCACTATCCTAGGATGTGTGAATTCTTCCACTTAGAAACTTGGGAGAAACATCTTAGAATCTTAGGGCACCAAACAAAGGCTTTGAAACAGCAAAAGTGTTGGATAAGTCACTTAACTCCTCTCAGCCCAGATTTCTTCCTCTGTGAAAGAATTATAATAATTCTTACCCAACTACAATGGCTATTCAGTCAAAGTATGGTATGAAAATAGGTTTCTGAAAATCATAGATTCTGTGGGAAACATTACTTGTTTTTAGGAAGTATCATGCAACAAAACTAATTGTTTTAATTACCAAAACAAAAGCTATTAAATGTTTCTATTCTCTTTATCGTTAGCATAGATTATTTACTGCAGATAATAACCTGTAGTAAAATTTCAATGTTTTCTTTTTATTGTGCACCAGCTAGAAGGCTATAAGTTAAATTATTCTAGACTAAAGTGAATATTGTGAGTATTCAGTTAATAAGAACTGATGCTGTTCAAGGTGGATAGTAGCTCTTATGTGGAAACATTAATTCAGATTTTACTAATTCATTATAAGATCAAGAGTTAGGTGCCAGTTGTAAAAAGACATTAATTGTACAAGCAATATTATGAGTCTATTAAGTATCCTTACATGGAACATAATTGCAATGTGAGTAAAGGCTAGACTTTTACATACTAATTCAAACTGTCCTAGAGTGAAAACGTGTTTCTTTAACTCACATTTTCCACTAAAGTAAATATGCCCTACCCCCTTACTCCAAATGAATAAGATGACTCCTTTTCTGTTTTTCTTGATTGGTAAATCATGCTTGGAGATACCATCTGGAGATGGTTGGGTTTCTGCCAAAGATTTAAATCAGGCTTGCAAAGAGCTACCTGCCTAAGGCAAAAAACCACACTGATTTAATAGGAAAGAACATGCTTTTATTTTGCCATCTGGTAAAGGAAAGTGAAAGCACTTTGAAAAATTTTAATATTTGTTCTACAATGATGGCCTTATAGATAAAAGTATTTCCAAAATATAGTAACTGGGAAAATTGGAGAATCTAATTGCTAAAATCTGCGTGATTATTTATGTCTGATTTGAAGGCACATACAGAGATCTTGATGCTAAAAGCAGATATTTCTGTAAGAGAAGTGAAGGCAAGACAGGGATAGAGAAAGGTAAATAGGTTGGAAACGACCCAGACCTCCTTGTGGGCAGTGTTGAAAGCTCAAGACCTGAGTGGATTGGTTATAATGTGATGGTTATCCCTTTTACTTTTTATTTTTTAAACAGATTTCTACTTGGCAGATTAACCAAAGGCAAGAGAGGCTAATCTGTCTACGTTCTGAGTGCCACTCTCCGCAAGACCCCCATAACAGACCCCAGGCCCAAGTCCACTGTGCTACCAGACCCCCAACCCACCCCACCCCAGGCATTGCTCTGGGGTCTGCCTGAGGCCAGCAGTGTGAAGATGACCAGCACCTTCCTAGCATGACGACCTTGGACCATGTGATCGCTACCCACCAGTCGGAGTGGGTCTCTTTCAATGAGGAGCCGCTCTTTCCTGTCCCTTCTGAGGGTAAGGAGAACTTCCATCGCCTAAGTGAAAAGATTAACAAAGAACCACACCTGCTTGTTATGGCTTCTATTTCATCATTCTTTTGGGGGGGATCTTGATACGGAAAACAGAGCCAGTTTGTCACTTTCTTCAGGTCCAGATTCTTCCACTTAGAAGCCTGGAGGAAACATCTTAGAACCTAGGGCCCCAAACAAGGACCAGGAAACACCAAAAGTATTGGCTGCTTTCTTCCAATGAACATTAACTTCCTATTTCCAAAGTACTTTATGCTCAGTCTTTTCGGTTATTATTCCCAACAGCAATTCAGATGGTCTCAATTTTTAAAGCATAATTGTCAAGAGTGACAGGAGCTGGAGCCAGATCCCTCGGGCTCAAACCCCGGCTCCATTATGGATGAGTGATGTGTCCTTGGGTGGATAATTGATTTAACCTCCCTGGGTGGTGGTTCATCTGTGCAGTACGGGTAATCACAGTACCTACCTCAGGGTGGTTGTGAGGATGAAATGAATTAACATGTAAAGTACTTACAGCAGTGACTGGCACATGGAAAGGGCTCATAATTGTCACCCGTGATCATGATGAAGGTGGCTAGATTGACTTCTGGGGAACTGTGCTCAGGGATGAAGGTCAAGGTGGGATGCGGGAGCTATTTATCACATCAGCTGCTTCTGTTCCACGGCCGCTGCTACTGCCACCTGAAATCGTCCCAGCTTCGTTTACAGCACCTGGAAAGTGTGAGTTTACAGGTGTGCTGTCCAATATGGTAGCCCTGTGGCTCTCGAGTCTTTGAAATGTGGCTCGTCTGAATTGAGATGCGCTATAAATGTGAAATACCCACACTGAACTTCGAGGACCTAGTAAAAGTTAAATGTGTTATTAACAGCTTTTTATCAATTACATGTTGATATTACACATTTTCAGCATGCTGAGATGAAATACGTATTATTAAAAGTAGTTTTGCCTGTTTCTTTTTAGTTTTAAAATGTGGCTACTAGAAAATTTAAAATTCATATATGGCCCACCTTTTACTTTTTTAGGACAGCGCTTATCTAAATAATTACATTCAGGTAGACCTGTTTGTTTGGCTAGTGATGGGAGAAAGGAGTTTCGCATCAGTACTTTTATTTTTTAAACATTTTCATACAGTAAAATTGACCATTTTTGGTCTACAGTTGATGAATTTTAACACACGTATAGATTTGTGTAATCACCACCACAATTGGGATCTAGTTCTGTTATTTAAAAACAAATTTTTGAAGGCTATTAAATGTTCCAGGACCAATGCAGTGATACAAAAGTTAGAGGAAGGGCCTCTGTGCCATATTTAGCTGGTCATTAGTGCAGGGTTTGCACATGGTGGCCCGCAGATGTGTGTTGTTTGGACTGTGCAGAGTTTGAATGTTTTTAGTCCAGACAGAAGCTCTCCTGTTGAGCCACAGTCTCCACCATTCCCCATTGCCTTTCGCTTTTCTAATTTGACCTAGTTCTATCTGTTGCTCGGCCTCTGTAGGAATTTTGTTTGTGACCCCTAAGCACTGGAGTAGATGGTAGGATAAGAATAGTGAACAAGACTCCCAGTCTCAGCCTGCATGGAGACTGCTATGGACATCCTAGGGTATAGTTTTTATACATTTTAAGGTAAACACTCTTTAAGCATAGAGGCAGGTGGGCATGGCTGTTTGTCTGCCCTCACACCCTGTAATGGTGAGTCCTTTGATCACTGCTTGCCTGTCCTTTGTTTTTCCTCCACGAGACAGTTCTGAAGAGTGGCCTTCCTCGCATGATGTGATGGTAGTTTCTGGTATCTGTTTCAGGGGGCACTGAAGAGCACCTCCCAGGACCATCGTCTTCCTCAGACCAGTCCGAGATCTCTTCTGGGGAGAACCGTGTGGTGGATGGAGGCTCTCAGGACCTTTCCCCCTCAGAGCACGATGACTCTTCTGAAAAGATGGGCCTCATCTCTGAAGCGGCCTCCCCTCCCCTGAGCCCTGAGCAGCCTCCACCTGACCTGGCTTCAGCCATCAGCAGCTGGGTTCAGTTTGAAGATGACACACCCTGGGCCAGCACATTACCACCTCATAAAGAAGCAGGTGGGACAGGTAGGACAGGTGGGGGGCTGTGCTCACCAGGGACGCTTTTTCGTGAGAGGTCTGCAGGGCTGCCAGCACTCTGTTTTGTCTGCTCCAGAGCCCTGAAGCACTGGAGGGAGCAGACAGAGATCTCATCTGGCTTAATTCTGTGACACGTTTTTATTAACATAAGCATGTGGAAGGATTTATGTGTTCTGGGCCATTTCCAGCCTTTTACCCTTGCCCTGGCTGTTAATTTCTCTTTGGAAGTATGCATATTTATTCATCTATTATGGACTAGAATTCTATTTACTTAGCACCTAAATTGTATGCTCCTGTGAGTAAAATGAATGTCTCTCAAAGTGTGGACCACCAACCATCTCTAATAGAGTCACCAGTTATACATAGATGTTCTTGTGTCCCAGACCTTTAGAATCCAAATCTTCAGGGGTGGGAACTGTCATTAATGGTCAGTCTCTTACTTTGTGGCATTTAAATGGCCAGAAGCTGCACTGGGAAGCTGAGTGAAGCCAAGGGAATGATTAGTTCCTAGCCTGGTGACCTGGCTACTTATTTTATTGTGCACTGAAGCATACCAAGGGTGATTGGGATAACCTTTGGGACTGTATTAGTTTTCTATTTGCTGCTGTAACAAATTACTACAAACTTAGTGGCTTAACCAACACAACTTTATTATCTTACAATTCTGTAGTTCGGAAGTCCGGCATGGGTGTCACTGAGCTAAAATCAAGGTGTTGGTGGGTCTGCATTCCTTTCAGGAGGCTCTAGGGGAGAATCTGTGTCTTTGCCCTTTCTAGCTTCTAGAGGCTGCCCACATTTCTTGGCATGTGGCCTCTTCCTCAGTCTCCAAAGCCAGCAATGTTGCATCTCTCTGTGCCTTTCTTATATAGGCAAATCTTCCCCTGCCTGACTTCTGCTTTCTTCTTCTGTTTTTTTTTTTTTTTTTTAAATCTGTATTGGAGTATAACTGCTTCACAAGACTGCACTAGCCTCTGTCGCACAACAAAGTGAATCAGCCACATGCACACACATACATCCCCATATCCCCTCCCTCTTGAGCCTCCCTCCCACCCGCCCTATCCCATCCCTCTAGGTCGTCGCAAAGCACGGAGCTGATCTCCCTGTGCTATGCTGCTGCTTGCCACTAGCTATCTATTTTACATTTGGTAGAGTATATATGTCCATGCTACTCTCACTTCACCCCAGCTTCCCCCTCCCCCACTGTGTCCTCAAGTCCATTCTCTATGTCTACATCTTTATTCCTGCCCTGCCTGCCACTAGGTTCATCAGTACCATTTTTTTTTATTCCATATATATGCGTTAACATACGGTATTTGTTTTTCTCTTTCTGACTTACTTCACTCTGTATGACAGACTCTAGGTCCATCCACCTCACTACAGATAACTCAATTTCATTTCGTTTTATGGCTGAGTAATATTCCATTGTATATACAGGCCACATCTTTACCAATTCATCTGTTGATGGACATTTAGGTTGGTTCCATGACCTGGCTATTGTAAATAGTGCTGCAGTGAACATTGTGGTACATGTCTCTTTTTGAATTATGGTTTTCTGAGGGTATATGCCCAGTAGTGGGATTGCTGGGTCATATGGTAGTTCTATTTTTAGTTCTTTAAGGAACCTCCATACTGTTCTCCATAGTGGTTGTATCAATTTACATTCCCACCAGCAGTGCAAGAGGGTTCCCTTTTCTCCATACCTTCTCCAGCATTTATGGTTTGTAGATTTTTTGATAATGGCCATTCTGACTGCTGACTGGTGTGAGGTGATACCTCATTGTAGTTTTTTTTTTGTTTGTTTGTTTTTTTTGCGGTACGCGGGCCTCTCACTGCTGTGGGCTCTCCCGTTGCGGAGCACAGGCTCCGGACGCGCAGGCTCAGCGGCCATGGCTCACGGGCCCAGCCGCTCCGCGGCATGTGGGATCCTCTCGGACTGGGGCACGAACCCGTGTCCCCTGCATCGGCAGGCAGACTCTCAACCACTGCGCCACCAGGGAAGCCCCTCATTGTAGTTTTGATTTGCATTTCTCTGATAATTAGTGATGTTGAGCATCTTTTCACGTGCCTCTTGACCATCTGTATGTCTTCTTTGGTGAAATGTCTATTTCCTCTTCTGTTTTTAAGGACCCTTGTGATTACACTGGGCCCACAAGGATAATCCAGGATAATTTCCCCATCTCAGGGTTTTTAACTGAATCACATCTGCAAAGTCTCTTTTGCCATGTAAAAGGACATATTCACAGGTTCTGGGGATTAGGATGTGGACATCTTTGTAGGGGAGCATTATTTTGTTTACCACAGAGACCTCTTAGCAAAGCCAGGTTGATGTTTTTCTGTTGGTGGGTTAAATGTTTTGCTAGCTTTGATGTTTAAAAACAATTCCTTTGCTTTTCAAACGTGTTTTCAACATCAATAAAAATAATTTTAAGAAAATATAAGGCATAATTCTACTGTATAACAAACGTTTCCATTTTTACATAACAATTTGCACATTGATACACTTTTTCACATTTAAGCGTCAGATTTCTCATGAATTGTTGGTGAGAAAGCCATGACACTCAAAGCAGCATGGATGAAATGACAGGTCCAGACAGGCTTCCCAGTCTGGCTGGAGGGAGGACGTAACATTTACTGAACACCTAACACAGTAAGACAGTGGGCTGGCTAATTAAGCATTTGTGCATTTGAGGGAAAGTTACTGAACACAGGGCAATGAATCAGTACAGAAGTATGCTTGTTTTCAGTAAGTTACATTCATTAAATATTTATTCTCTCAGACACTGTGCTCAGTGCTTTACGTCATCTCATGAACTCTCTACAACGATCATATGAGGAAGGTATATTTAATATTATATTCATATTACACATGAGAAGACTGAGACAGATAGTGGTTTGGGAATTTGCCCACAGTTGTATGCTAGGAAGTGGCAGGAGAGAGCTTTACTACCAGGCAGACTGGCCCCAGGATCTTTGAACAGCCTAGGGATGCTGTGTGTGGTATGTGTGCCTTAATCTTCCCGTTATTGCTATAGTTTCCTCTGCTTCCTCATTCCCCGGAAGCAGGGGAGGCCAGGGATGGGTTGCCCTTAAATGGGCCTGCTTTCAGATCACTGATTATATTCAAGGCATTCAGATTCTTTTACTTATTGTTCATACCTTACCTTTAGTTTCAAAGATCTCCTAATTGCTTAGAACTGTTTATATGACAGATGGATCAATTTGCTTTAATTCTTCACCACTTATTTTTGCAAAACTAACTTTGGAGTTAGTCATAATTATGTTGCCCCCATCTGACTGAGGATTTTAGCTTGTTATTGATAATGGTTTTGAACTTTAATGGTTTTAACCTTTAAATCATTAAAACCTTATCCTTTAAGGCAGTAGTTTTCAAAGTGTGGTCTATAGATCTCTGGAGTTTCCCAAGACCCTCTCAAGGGGTGTGTGGGACCAAAAGTATTTTCATAATAATTCTAAGATTTTTTTGGTCTTTTTTTTACTGTATTGGCATTTGCATTAATGGTGTAAAAGTAATGGCGAGTAAAACTTATGGCCACTGTGTACACATAGTAAAAAAAAAAAAGTCAATTTCACATAATATCCTTCATGAAGTAGTAAAGATTATTAATTTTATTAAATCTGGATTCTTTTTTTTTAAAATAAATTTATTTATTTTATTTATTTCTTTTTGGCTGCGTTGGGTCTTTGTTGCTGCATGCAGGCTTTCTCTAGTTGCGGCGAGCCGGGGCTACTCTTCATTGTGGTGCGCGGGCTTCTCATTGCGGTGGCTTCTCTTGTTGCAGAGCATGCGGGGCTTCGGTAGTTGTGGCTCACAGGCTCTAGAGAGCAGGCTCAGTAGTTGTGGTGCACGGGCTTAGTTGCTCCGCAGCACGTGGGATCCTTCCGGACCAGGGCTCAAACCCGTGTCCCCTGGATTGGCAGGTGGATTCTTAACCACTGTGCCACCAGGGAAGCCCTAAATCTGGATTCTTAAGTACATCTTTTTAATATTTTCTGTGACAAATTGGGAAATATGCATAAAACACTTGTGTTCCATACCAAGATATAATGGTTGTCTTGAAGAAAAATGGCTGTCTTGAAAAAAACTGGGTTTGAAAAATATTTTAATTTAAAAATTAAATTTAAAAATCAAAATTACTTAAAGATTATTTGAGAAAGTCAAAACAATGCAAAAAAAACCCTTGATGAACAAAATATCAGCATTTTAAAGACAAAATTCAACCAATACCTTCATGACTGCCGCCCTGCACCCTAATCCTAGCCCTGGTTCCAGTAAAACTCTATGTACAAAAATAGGTAGCTAGCCTGTGGACCACAGTTTGCTGATTTTATATTTTTTAAATATTGTATTTAAAATGTTATTTGATTACTAAGTTTTTTGGTACCCTTTTAAATTTTGCGCCCAAGGTGAGTGCCTCACTTGCCTCGCCCTAGTGCCAGCCTTGCACTGCGCTAAGGATATGGGATTCATTGATATCACTAGAGAGCAAATCAAGAAATGACAACTTCCAAATGTGTGAAAGCATAATTGTGGCCTGAAAACTGCCCAAACGTTCATTACTAGTTCCATCTGTTTCCACGTATGAACATTTAACTCAGCTCTGTGGAGATGGAGCCCTCTGCTGCAGGAAGAGCCTGTTGGCTGGTTTCCCAGCAGACGTGAGGCCCAATGTGTAGGGTCAGCCCCACCTCAGCAAGTGTTTCTAACCCAGGGACCCAAGAATCATAGAGGACTCTGCAGAGCATCAGGGCGGTAAAGAAAATGGTAATAAATCCAAGGCTTCTATCTCAACTCTCCTGCTGATACCCAACTGCCCATCAAGGAACCCCCCCAAATAAAGGACCGCCGGGTACATCCCTCTTACCCAAACTAGCCTCACCAACTAGGCCAGCTCCCTCATGGGTTTCCTCACACAGACTGTGTTTAACAATAAGGAAGAGTGAGTGGTTGGTAGAGCTAAGGCCAGGTG